AAGGCAGCGGTTTATCCGCTCCCTTGGTAACCCCTTAAGGTCTAACCTGAGTTCCATTTTTTTAAAAAAATCCTTTTATGTGGGTTTAAGGCTGGTCTGATTGCAGCTGCGTCTTCCAGAGGTCACCACTATGGATATTGTCCACCTGAACGAGGAGCTGCCTCCTTGTGGGTGCAAACCAGCCCGGTAGGGAGGCACGCTGGCCTTGGTGGGATAGAGTCTGCTCTGGGTGACCAGTAAACGTTTGGGAACCACCTGGAGCTTTTTGAAGTAACCTGTCGTAAAACAGACAGCAAGTGCAGCGCAGATCTGGGGTTTTTCTTTCCCAAAACTGGTTTCTTGATTGCCTGGTTGTGCAAACCAGCCTTCAGCAGTTGGGGTGCGCAGGAGGGCTGAGCAGAGGCTGTGCAGCCGGTGGACAGGACGTGCCGGGAGGGTTTTGTCGCTGGCTTTTGGTTTCACCCTCCTGTGACCGCGGTGGCAGGCGACCTCTGAGCTCGCAGCTCACCGAGGTCGTGGGCCAAGGTGCTGCTTGGCACGTGCCTGGCGTTCGTGACGGGTCATGGGACAGGGAAGCGGAGGCGAGAGTTTTGTTCCTGCATCTCCAAAGCCAAAGCATGAAAACCGGGCGAAGAGGCGGTGCTGTCAAACGGGCTGAGCGTTTTTGAGTTGGTTGGGTGGTTTTGGTACTGGGTCCAGTCCTTTCGAAACCAGGAGACGTTACAGCAGCATTTCTCTTTGTTGGCCAACGGCTTTGGGTAGCTTGGAGCCCTTCTGGCCAAGGGTCTGTCCGTAGTGCCAGGAGATGGAACAAATCCTGCTGCTTCGCTGCCTGTGCAGCAGAACAGCTTCATGGCTTCTGTGGCAGGAAAACACGGCGTCGATTTTTTTTTTGCTCTTACACGGCCCGTGATCCAGCCGTCACCTCTGTCGAAACACCGGAGCCATCCGGGCCCTGCTGGTTTAGGTCTCCGTGCAGGCTAGAGGGGCCCAAAGTATCCGTCCGGCGGCAGCAGCTCACCTAAACGCCGTTGGGCAC